TCTTCCTTGACCAACCTCCCGAAGCGGACAACTTTCTCCACGTGCATGGAGGAAAAGTCGAACCCGGGAGCAAGAGTCGTGCCTGGCGGGCAACCTTTTGAAAGCCCCTCTTGTGCTCTTTCACAACAGAGCATTCAACCTCCGCGAGCCTCCCCTCCACGGCCGCTTTCCCCGCTGCCAGCTCTGCGAGCTCCGCCCTTAAAGTGGCAATCTCGTCCTCCCGACCACCAAGAATGACCTCGCTACGGAGGCACTCCTCAGCCACCGCCGCCAACTCTCCTTTAAGAGAGGTCACAACATCCTCCAGAGCCCGCACTTGGCCACGAGAAGACGTCACCTCATCCTCCAGAGAGCGAGCGCGGCCTCGAGAGAAGCCGACGAGCTCCTGCAACTCCCCCACCTAAGAGGCATAAGCCTCATTGGATCGCAAAGCGATCTCAAGAGACTTCTGCACTCTTGCAAGATCGCCACGCGCAGACCGGAGCTCGCCCTCCTGCCGCTTCGCCTCACCAAGGGCAGCGCTAAGTGCCTTGTTGTCCTCCCTCAGGATCTTATTCGCATCCTTCCAGGGTTGAAGTCGGTCCCTTAGTTTGGCCAGCTCCTCTTGCTGCCTGGCCAGGTCCTCCTGCTGCTTGGCCCACCTGGGTTTCCAGTGGCCCATTATACCCATAGCCCTCTATAGAAGGACCTGAGCACTAAATGCATCCCAAATGAAATGGGTCTTATCCCTCCTAAATGACTAAAGTACCCTTAGGTCAAAAAAAAAAAGAAATGGACTTTTGACCTTAAAAATAAGGCTTGAGTCCTAAAATAAATCCTAAGACTAATTTTGCCACATAATACAAAGACTAAATAAAAATAAAAAATAAAATCCTAATATCTAATGTACCCCAAAATACAAGGGAAAAATGGGAAAAGGAAACAACAAATTAAGGAGATGGCTAAAATTCCACGCACATGATGATCATGGCCTTTGGTGTGGTGTGTTCTTCATCTTCCTCTACTCTCCTAGCCATGGACCTTGTGATAGGCCCTATATGATGCTTCAAGGATGGTCCTCCATCAACTAACCTAGCAAGCAATCTTTTTATTTCTTCATTTTTTTCTCATTTTCTCTTTCTCTTCTTCTAAGGTCTTCCTCACTTTTTATATTTTTCCTCTTCTTTTTTTCTTAGGTACTCTTTTAGTTGCCTAAGTTCATCCCTAACACTAGACCTAGTACTACAAGAATTATGACCATGGATACTAGAGTGATCACTCATCTTTGATCTAAAAGGTTTTCACAAAGTTGTTTTTCAAAAAGGGTTGAAAAAGGTTTTCACAAAGAGTGAGTGATAAAAAGGTTTTCACAAATAGTTTTCAAGGTGCAAGATAGGTAGAAAAAGGCCTAAGTGTACAAAGTGAACTATCAAAGGGAGGTGAACTACTAGGAATCACTTTATAACCAAGCCTTATCAAGTAAAAATTACTAAGCCTTTTCCACTTTTCTCACAAAACAATTTGGCACAAAAATAAAGTGTGTGTGTGCACGTTCCCCCTAGTAGGCAAAAGCAAGCCTTCTAAATGGAATTAGAGACAAAATATAAAATCCTAAGCAATTATACTAACAAAAGCTTTAAAACATGCAAAAGGAAAGCTTAAAAACATATACTAGTCGAAGGCCTAAGTGAAGGTTTTCAAATCACCTTCAACTACACGAACTAAAACCAAATTGAAGAGGTTTAGAAATGACCAATTACAAACCAAGATAAAGAAATAAGGCCCAAACACAAGTGGCCCAAAAGAAATCAAGTAAAAAAATGAAAAGACAAAAATTTAGGTCTTCAACTCCTCCAATTGGGTTCCTTCACAATGAACAAACTTTGTTAGTCCTCTCCAAGTGTTTAAACACTCCTTTTGTGTAGTGGAAATCCCTCCAAAGACTAGGTTTGGATTCGGTTCACTCCTCCACTCAAATCCACCAAAGGTTTGCTAGTTTGCTAGATAGGTTCTTAACCTACATTCAAAATGAAACCAACCCAAAGAGCAAGAGTCCAAGAAATAAAAACTGAAAACGCACAATTAGGAAAGGCTAAACTCAGAGATAATTGATTGAGACAAAACAAAATAGGCCAAAGAAAATAAAAACTAAAATTAAGACACAATGATGGAATCATGCCTAGGAAGGCAAGAGGTGACATATTGAAGGAGCCAAGAGGAGTTGGCTAGACATGAAGGTTTGGGCCAGTCAGGGCCCAATGGGCCTGATGGGCCTGGGAAGGCCCAAGTTGAACTTTTCATGGGCCATATTTTGTTATAGCTATTTTCATATGTTTTGTATACATCATGTTAGTATAGGTATCATATATTTTGGTCTTGTATTTTGGACCACATAGAGTAGCATTTTAGGTTTTAGGCTTGTTGGGCCTAGTTTTGGGCTTCATGGGCCTTTGGGCTTTTGGTACCCAATATTGGGCTCATTTTCATTCTTGTAATTTTTCCTTTCCATTGTATTTGTTTGACCATTGTATTTAGGTCATTAGATTAGGAATATACAAGAATTACTTAAATAGGTAAAATAGGTTAAACTAGGTTTAATTTGGAAGTCATTTAAGTTACATTTGAGTCACATGTTTAGCACCATGGGTGGCTGAACATGTGCCACTCAAATTAACCCTAAATAACTCTCAAATCAAACCTAAATGCATCTAGGCACCTAAATTTTCGGACTAGCACATGGGAGCCAAAATTTGAATTCAAATTTCAAGTTTGAATTCAAATTTTGGGCGCCACATGTAGCCTTGGATTTAGGCGCCCAAAGTTGCACACTTGGAACCCTACTTAAGTGATTCTTCCACTCTTTGTATTCACTTTTGAGAATAATGAAATTTGAGAGCTTATTCAGCCAAATTTCGTTCAAGAGTCACCATGAGAGAAAGCTTCACCTTAGGAACCCTTCTAGGATTTCCTCCTCTTTGAAGTGAGCTTTCCCTTGCACCTTAAGCTTGGATGCTTCCATCCAAGGCTTAAGCCTTCTTCCTATCCGAGAATCTCCTCCATATAGTGTTCATCTTTGTGGTTTCCATCTCCTTGAAGAAGATCCGTGCATAAGGAGAGCTAAGGAGAAGAACATTCATCACTCCTCCTTACCATCTCCATGACACAATTAAAAAGGAAGCACACAAAAGAGTATTCTTAGAATGGCACTAGAATGGATTAGTGTTTAGTCCACTTGCTTAAGTCTTTTATATGATTCGGTCCAACCACTCTTCAGGTCTCAAAATAGGTTCAATAAGGTCTTAAGTCCAACTCCCAAAAGCATAGGTAAAGGTCCAAGTCCACAAGTCTAGCAACAAGTCCTTTTTGGTCAAACATTTTTTTGCTCTTTTTTTCTTCCTTTTCTTTTCACGTCAATTTTTTTTTTATATTCCTTGGGTCCAATTTCTTTTCTTTAATGTTCAGCCCATTTGTTGCTTAGGTCTTGCACTTGTGGGTGGGGAAAAATTAGTTCAAAATTTAGGAGAAAGAGAAGGAGACAAGTGGCGTGTTCTTAGAGGGTTTTAGGGAATCTTTTTAGTGGAAATGGTTTTGTACTATTTAGGACAAGTTTTTTTGTACCAAATTTTCAGCACACCTCTTAGATTCTTTTAGGGTTATCAATCATCAAATATAGACCTTAACAAGTGGAAATGCAAGCAAAAAGTGGCCAGAAATTTAAATGCATGTGCAAGGAAGCATTTTACACATGGAAACTCGAAAAAATACAAGGAACATGCTAGGACTAAATAGCATGCATGAATGACTCCTAGATAGCTTCTATATGTCACGCCCACTTATGTTATGCATCATGGTATTTTTTTGATTCATGTATTCATGCAAAGTGTTTGGAATACATAATGGGGTTTTTGTAGACAATATAGGAAACAAGACTTGACAAAAACTTAAAAGATTCAAAAATCAAAAAGCATGTTCATATGAGACTTAAACCTAAAAATGGAAAAGCATGGAAATCACCTAGCAATGGAAACCTAAAATGTTCAAGGAAGTTTCACATGGAACAAAATATGAACCCAAAGCATTCAGCCATACAAAGAAAGACAATAAAGGAGACAATGATCGAATGGAAAGAAAATGGCAAGATGTTACCCTTGATGAACCTTGGCTCTAGATACCACTTGATGGAGACCTCCCTTCCATCGTTGACAATGGCTTCTTGAAGAGGGTCACCTTGCCCATGATCTAGGCTCACCAAAGGTTAGGAATGGGATGTTTAAGGTGGACAAAGGATGATAGGCGTGAGATAGTGAAGGGTGGCGGAAGTGTATGGTGCTCAAAGGTGGTTGGCTCACTCCAAGTGTAGGTGGAGGCCACTCTAGGGTTTCACTCTCCAAGGGTGGAGAATGAAGGTGTTTAGCCGAAGTTAACCTAGGGACTAAGGATAGGATTTGAGGCAAAGAAATGCTCTCTCAAATTCGTATAATCCAAAGTATTTACAAGGTGTGGTATATTGGGTATTTATAGGAGTGGGAGGCATCTAGGGTTGCATTTGGAGAATGCATGGCTGAAATTCACAAGCTAAATGCACTCTAAATGAAATGCAAATTAACCCTAGATGCAACTTGGTGGCCAAGGATGGAATCTTTGGGTTTAGATAGGCTACATCTAGGTGCATGATAAGACCATGCAACCTTTGCCCTCCACTTGGGCCTAAGCCTTTCTAACACCAAAAATAGGTCCAAGAACACCAAAAAAATGTGTCACCTCCTAGTTTAAAACCCTAGCCCAAAAATTAAAATCTTAATCATCTAGAGCACCCCATAATACAAGGGTAAAATGGGAAATACAAAAGAAAATAAATCCTATGACTAAGATACCCCAAAATACAAGAGTAAAATTGGAAATACAAGTAAAATAAATTCTATGACTAAAATACCTCAAAGTACAAGGGTAAAATTGGAATAAAGTAATAAAATTCTATACTACTCAAAATTGGGCCTAGGAGATGGATCCATACATGGTATCTCTCCATTCTCCTAGCCATGAACCATGTGATGGGTCTCACATGAAGTACCAAGGATGGTCCTCCATCACCTAATACCTTCCCTATGCCTAATCAACCCCCAAAACCTAGTTCTACCTATAAAGACCATTATTAATTTTTGAAAACATTTTTCTTTTTCTAATGTTTTTAGTAAAAAATTAGTGGCGACTCCTTTGAACCTTTTCAAAAAATCATTGATGAAGGATTAATATGATTTTCGGGCATTCCTCAGCCAATGAGATTTTCAAAATAAGTCCAAACCATTTGTGGGAAATATTGGAATTTTTCGGGTTCCGACACCTAAAAAGTATTATGAACTAAAATAGTTAGGTATGGAGGAAAGGATTTAGTTTCCCACAACATGGTAAACGAATGTTTAAATTCCCCCAACAATGTTTGAGTGTGCCTTGTGCCTATGGGTAGGGTTGATCATCAATTAACTATGGTAGGAATTAGGTCTAAAATGTCTAATCAAACCAAAATTGAATGTTTTTATTTTAGAATTGTTTCTAATTCTTATGCCTTCAAGTTGGTTGGTTTCTGGACTCGACGAGTTATGGGCTTCCTCGGGTGGTTGGGACAAATTTAAGCCTCTAAAGAAAGACACATACATTACAAGAGTATTGTAGGTTGTAGTTTTCCATCGGGAGGTAAAGAAGCTCTAAGGATAGCATCACAATTTATTCACCATAATTAAAGGCATACTAAGAAAGTGAAGAAAAGGGTCCATGAATGTTAGAGCAAAAGGAAAAATGAAAATGAGAGACAACCCACTTTTACACAACTAAAACTATTATGAAATACTCAATATGATTTCATATGAACCTCATTATCCAACACTTCAAACAACATAAGTTTGATGCATGAAGAATTCAGCAAATTATTTACCTTGATTCCATTTTCCCAGAGGTAGTAATTTCAAATGTAGAATCAGTAAGCAACTCTTTAGAAGATAATGACCTATTAGAGATCTCTCTTTTAACATAGAATGCTGGTCTTTGAGGTAAGGAAACTATAGCACTTTTGTTTGTCAACATGGATAGAATGTCAAACATTGTAGGTCGATCATTTGTGTATTGTTCAACGCACAAAAGACCAACATGAATGCATCTTTGCACTTCATCAGGTTCAAACGACTCATTTAGTGATTGATCCACTAATTGTAGAGGTTCACCTACATTCCATAACTCCCATGCCTGTTAGCATTTCAACCATATTAGACACAATATTATGCAGAAAAGAACTCAATATATGAGGCTAAATTTACATACATGTCCTATTAGATTTAATGGGTGGTCATCATCATAAAAGCTAGTGTTTCTTCTTCCACTAATAATTTCAAGCAGTAACACTCCAAAACTATAGACATCAGACTTTGTAGAGAAAATTCCTTCCATGGCATATTCTGGTGACATGTAACCACTGCAAGGAAAAAAAATTTATAGCTGACAATACATATTATATATATATATACACACACACATATTCACCTACAACACTTGGAACAAAACGAGTTTAGAAAGCTCACTATGTCCCAACAACCCTGTTGGTGTTTTCTACAGGTTCTTGTTGTGTGAAGATTCTTGCCATTCCAAAATCTGAAATTTTGGGGTTCCAATTTTCATCAAGAAGTATGTTACTAGCTTTCAGGTCTCTGTGAATGACTTTAAGTCTTGAATACTTATGAAGATAAAGTAATCCTTGAGCAATTCCTTCTATTATGTTGAAGCGCTTCTTCCAATCTAGTAATTTTCTTCTAGTACAATCTTCCCAATAAAAATATAGTAATATGTGTTAGAATGTATACTATAAGGGTACAAAATAAAAAAGACATTTTTTATTAGAATGGTTTATGTGATGTAGAAATCGCCTTATTTTAAGTTAAGTTCTACTACACAAGTCAATGTAGTCAATATATCACCCACAACAATTATTGAATAATTATAGTTGAGAAAGATAGTGTTTCCTCACAAATGTATTCCAATTGATGCATAATAATAAAAACAATTTCCTTTGTCCTCCAAACAAAGCATAATTAAATAGACTCTAGCATATGCCTCACCGAATATAAAGAAATCCAAGCTTTTGTTTGGCATATACTCATAAAGTAGAATCCTCTCTTCTTCATGAATGCAATAACCAAGTAGTTGTACAAGATTCATATGTTGAAGTTCACATATAAGTTTAAGTTCATTTTTGAACTCCACAATTCCCTGTGTAGAAGATTTTGAAAGTCTTTTTATAGCAACCTCTTGTCCCGTTGAAAAAATTCCCTAAAATGACAATAAAAAATAATTAGTTCTCCAAAATAAACTTGTTAATCCATAACATTAATGATTTCAAGTCACCTTATATACAGGTCCAAAGCCTCCTTGTCCCAACTTATTTTCAGATGAAAACCCATCTGTAGCTTCCATTATTGATATATAAGTAAATGCTTTTAACTCGAGTCCATGTTTTAAATCATCTTCAAATTCTTTCCGGCTAGATGTTCCTTTACAAGTTGCTAAATGCAACATCTTGGTCACCATTCCTTTCTTTTTCTTATCTGTTTAGATGAAAATGAGAAAGATAAAAATATAGAAAGCTGATAAAAATATATTTTTTAGTAAAGTACATATAAGACTTTTGAAGTATGTAATTACCTTGAAACATATATTTTCGTTTTTTCAAGATTAGGCAGACACTGAATAGGCATATTATGAGTAGAATAGTTGCTATTAATGCACTTATCCATATAAACTTTTTTGTACCTGCATAGAAAACTTAAACTAGAATTACAACTTTTCGATGCTATACCGTAAAACATTGTAAACTTAATTATTAAAAAAAAAAACTATTTAAATTGAAAAGGGTAAAACACAATTTAAGTTTACCAAAGTGCATGACGCTAACATTTTAGTCCTTAAAAATAAGAAAATTATGAATAAGTCCTTAAAAGTTAATTAAATTATATTTTTGGTTCCTCAATTTATTATTAAGATTCAATTTGATTCCACTATTTTAAATGGTTCAATTTGGTACTCTAATTTTTTTAAAATGTTTAATGTCATGTTTTCATTCAAATTATCATTAATAGTATTAATGAAATCTAATGGAAGGACAACATTAAATATTGTTTGGAAATTAAATGATCAAATTGAATCATTTCGAAATAATAAGGTTAAATTGAACATTCAATAAACAGAAGGACTAAATTGAACAAAAATTTATCTAACAATTTTTTTTGGATGAATTTAACTTTTATTTACTTATTTGATAATCTCTTTTGTTAGATATCTCCTTCATTTTGAGATCATTTTTTTTTAATTTCAAGTACTCAATTTGTTTTCATTTATGATATCATTAAGGTAAGTAAAAGGAAATTCAATTTTATTTAGACAAAAAAATGTTAGATAATTTTTTATTTAATTTACTCCTATTATTTTTAAAATGTTCAATTTGGTTCTCTAATTATCAAAAAAAATGTTCAATGCTATCTTTTCATTTAATTTTATTAATTTTGTTAGTGTCAATTTGGACAATTATTAAATTTTTTTGAAAATTAGAGGACCAAATTGAATAATTTAAAAATAGTGAGACTAAATTGAATCCTAAAAAAATAGAGGTACTAAAAATATAAATTAATCTTAAAACACTACTAAAAAAGTGTTATTTTCCTGGGAATTTTCCTGTAAAAAAATATTCGCAGAAATATTTTGCGAATTTATTTGCGAAAAATAATTTACAAATATTTCTTACAAATTTTGCTACAATTTTAATGATCATAGAAATTTTTTTTCATGGTAAAAATTTGCAGAAAAGATTGTAAGAATTTTATTGTTTCTTGCAGATTTTCTTGTAAAATAAAAATTTATAAGTTTAACATTTTAAAAAAACTTCAAGTCCCACATCGATTGAAAATAAAATAATTAAAGAGTATATAAGTTGGGACAACACTTACCTTACAAGTTGATTTGTATGGTTGAGTGTTAGACTTATAATCTACAATCTTAGAATTTAAAAGATTATGTATCACATGTTGGAAGCATAGAAACAAATGCTTCGGATGAATTCATTATGAGCATTTGAAAGTTAAAAAATTATTGATAGAATTTATAGTAATTTCTTTAATTTTTTTCATAAAAAATATTTCTGCAAAATTTCTTGTGAAAAATTCGCAGGAAACTTTCCCGCGAATTTTTTTTGCAGGAAACTTTCCTACAATTTTATTTTGCAGGAAACTTTCTTGCGAATTTTTTTCGCAAGAAATTTCGCAGGAAAATTTCTTGCAAATTTTAAAATTCGCAAAAATATATTATCCACGAAGATATTACCTGCATATAAAATTTTGCAGAAAAATTTGCAACGTTTCCTGCGAATTTTTATGAGAAAAGTCGCATGTAATAAGAAAAATTCTAGTAGTAAAAATTCTAATTTTTCATTTAAGCCCATAAAGATAATCACTTATTATCACTTTAATACCTAAATATACATTAATATATATTATCATTTAAATCACATGCTTTTTTAAATCTTGAACCAACACTTTCAGGAACTCATTTTAAATTTTTATACTTTTGTAGACTAAAATTCTACATATTCTTTCAAAAATTAGAATAGTGTTTTACCCAATTAAAAAAATAAAGGAACTCGAAAAAATAATTCAAAGGACCGAGATCATAATAAATGTAAACTAAAAGAATCAAAATTAAAATCAATGGACAAATTTTAAATGTAACTGCATTGCAATTAGGAAGTACTGCAAGTAAATAAAAAGTGTACCAGGAGGTTCTGACTTTGCAGTCGACTTGTCAATCTGTTGTGTTACGTTCCCCAGCATGTAAAATCTTTCACCAACATCACTAAGAGTATAATAAGGTCCTGATGAAAAGAATGTACATCCAGTACCATTATGATTGTGTTCTTTGTAACCAGTGCAACTACAATTGCTCCAGCACATGGCCTGGCAATCACTCAGGCCATAGCTCATATTTGGTTCACTGATTGCATATTCAAAATTGAGGTGACCCGTCTTTCTCTGATACACATCACCACGACTCCTACACTCAGGTATATCCTCCCATCTTTGGCACCCTTCATCAGTGTTATATCCATAACACATATCAGCCCAAACAACAGTTTCGCTATAATTATTTAATTGCCCATCTGATGCGATCCACCATAAAACATCAACATCATCATTTGTAGTTGTGAAAGAGAAGGAACTTTCATCAGCATTAGAAACAACGGTGTAGTTCAACGTGCGTTGTGCATCTTCTGAAATGTGCTCAAATCTATTGTTCCTCAGTTTCCCACTTCGCCAACTAACTTTTCCGCGTCTCCTTATGACCAGTTCTTCCCCAACGGGTTCCCATTCAAGGCTAAAGGCACCTGGTGTTACAATATTAATATCATCATTAGCAAAATATGAAACAAGTGACCAATTATGGCCTGTTTTATGATTAACACCTAACTTCATGGTAGGGATCATAGTATCGATAGGATAATCAAAACTCTGCCATAACACACTCATTGTAGACCCATTGGGGTGAAGTTGTTGAAGCACAAAGTTGCCTGTGTCCAACAAGGTTGCCACAGTGTTGTTGATTGGTTGAGGTGGAGAATAGAGGATTATTGGTTTCCCACGTTGAGATTCTATTTTCAGCACACCAGAGTGGTTTAGTGATAAAACTGCAGAATCTGGGTCAACAGGTTGGTTTCTATCACTCAACCAAACCCAATAAGTGTCCCAATTTGTTTTCCAGACAGCCAAGTAAGTGTCATCAACAATAGTATAAAAAGCCAGAAAATATTTTCCGTTTTTGGTAATTACTTTTCCTGTTTCTGTGTAATTCAGTGTGTCACCAGGTCTTAAACTGTTGTTTGCTTTAACATGAAAACAAGTACTCCACCACAACCACAAGTGCATGAAAGCAACCAGTTTCTCTTGCTTAAGCTTGATAGCATACTTCAAATATGGAAACATTAATCTGCGAGAGTTCGTTTCACAAGGGATGAAAGAGTGACTCCTTTTGGTATGTTAAAATTCAGAAATATAATAAGAAAATATAACTAAGCTCTGGAATTAAAATTTTGTAGAATTCAGAAATATACTCACAAGACCTGAAGGAGGGTCATTCCGAAATCTTATCACGAGCTTCACGCCTTACTTCGACTTTGAAATTCTGCAGCAAAGATACGTGGCCTCTGTCAGCACATATCAAAAGAAAGGAAAAGGATCAGTTTACTTTATTACAATAATTGAAACTTTGGAAAAGAGATACACGTACATCTATTATTTTAAAAATTAACTAAACAAAAAGTGGTAAGAAAATGATTGGTTGTTAGCATGATGTAAAAAAATCTGTAGGTACAGATAAGACTCGCTAAGCGTAGAATAGAGATGGCAAAAATATCTGCACCTGCGGGTATTTGTGGGTAAAATTCGCTACAGATAATAAATAGGTAGGATAATTGGGTACCCGCGAATAATGAAGATGGATAAATTTTTACCTGTTTATAAATGAGGCAGGGGCGGGTATGATGGTATCCATACCTGCGAGTATCCGTATAATAATATTTCTTAAATATCTTAATTACCCTTGTACCACATAACCTTAAAACTATACTCTTTCATCTTATTTTTTTTTCATAGCCGCACAGCTCACACATTAGTCATCACACATTATAAGATTGAATTATTGTAATTTTGTGATATGACACAACACCAAAAATGATTTTTTGTGGCAATTTTTATGGTATTTAGTGACCATACAAATGGCCATTAATATCTTTACCAGCAATTAGATTATGGTCAGTGTATTTAGGGTCGGTAAAACTATTAGTCGCATTTAAAGTGAGTGTTGGTAAAGACCTTTTGAATGGCTGGGAAAAAATAAGAAAATTCGGTTTAAAACCGCCACAAAATGCATTATAATGTATTAGTTTCTGAGCGTTTAAAACCGCCACAAAATGTATCTAGAATTTTTCTTAATTCAACATTTCTGACAGTTTTAAACCGCTACAAAATTGCATTTTTTTTATTAAAAATAAAACAAACAAATGCAAGACGAAACCAACATAAATGACTGCCATCTTGTTAATCAAAACACAGCAAAAAGGTCCTAAGCAGCTTAAATCACCTCACCTCCACAATCATATCTGGTAGATTCCACAAGTACTCCATCCAATGTTCGAATCGTGCGGTGATAATAACCTGAGAACATTATATAACAAATTCCTTTATAAACATTAACCCACTAAAAAATCACTACAACCATTAGTATCCACACCAAAGCGTTCCAAATTGCCTACATACATCACAAAATGCATATCCACAACCTAATATAAACAGAAATAACCTGGTCACCATCCGAAGGTTCAGAATCACCCCCACCAGGCCTCACCAAAGCTTTCATCAAACTCCCAGGCACGATTTTCTTCTTCCTTCATTTTCACAAAGAAACAACATTGAGGAGACAACCACCACCATCCACAGCCAAAACATCCTAACAAAAAACCAGCAAAGCCAAAAGCACGAAAAAGTGATACTAAATTATTATTCCTACCATATAATTTTAGTACCATAAATGGTAATTTTAGTGATAATTGAGAAATTATCACTAATTATATTCTTGAAATAGTATTTATCTTTAATAATTGTTAAGAGAAAACCTTTAACATAGAGTATGTCAGTCTAAAGCAAAGCAGAAAAATGGGAGAAAAAAGTGAGGGTACCTTCACTGTCCAAGAAAGAATTGTCTTCTCTGTAAGAGATCCTGACACCTCCACCTCTCCTCCACCAACCTACCAAAGCAAATGCATGCACAGAATGTAATGATAAATAGATATTGATACCATGGTTCAAAAATTAATCAAAAATTATTTTCTGGTGGTGGACAATTTCTCTGAGGAGCCATAGGCATTGGGCATTGTATGCAGTTTTCACTACCTATCATATATCAATAGTGTTCAGATAATTGTCGGTGTAATTTTCTAGTTTCCTAATAGGCATATGCAAGGAGCAAACAATGAATATTAAAACACAAGAAACCAACCAACCTGCATAGCAAATTTCCATGCATTCACACTAGTCAGAACCTAACTCAGAATTCACATCTTCATATATAACTTGGGCGCTCTGAAGTCTAAACCTATATTTGTACCTATTATCTTCTTGCTAACAAAATTTTGATTCAATGTCAATCCTAGCAAGTAACATCAGTGGAGGAATGAGTTTAGCATATACCTAGATTCAACACAAAACTTCCTTGATGAAATTACAAGTTGCTAGCTAGACTGCATAAACTTTTCTCTTGTTCAGATCTAGGCTGAGGGTATAGGTGTATTCTGTAGGAGCTTTGCTCTGGAAAAATATAGGTATATTTCTTTTTTTTCATTCTTTCTTATCTGATCCCTTTATGTTTTGAAGCTTATGCTAAATACAACAAAATCTATTTTTGCTCTTCAATATTAGTTTTCCTAACTTCCTATTGTCTCCCTGTTCACTCAAATACAAAAAGAACAAAAATACAAAGCTGTCACATGGAACAGAACACATTCCCAGCAGGAACAATAGAATGGTCACTCCAAGCAAATGTCATGGATCATAATACATACAAAACATTACCTTAATACAAGAATTTCACATGAGTCTCACTAAATAGAGAGTGAGCACAAATTAGTTATGAAATTCACCTAATAATAGAAAGTATGTTGGAGTGCATTGATCTCACACAAATTAGGAAAAACTGTTTCAGGCACTTTCTTTTCTCTTCGCTTTTGATAATTTTTCTCCATGCTATCTTGCCCAGCAGGAACATGCAAATCCTTATTCAAAGCAATCTATGTTCAAAGTAAGTAATAAATTAATAAACCTGATCACATAATATAAAACCAACCAACTAAACAGAACATAAAAGAAATAGGTTGGTGTAAAATATGAAAGAAAAATATAAACAATGAAAAACTCTTAAAACATATATTGAAAAGTAATTAAGTTGTAATTAATATACAGTAGAGAAATAATGAAAATCCAACATTTTTAATAAATTTCAAATATATCTCATTACCAAAGGAGGGCATTCCCATTTAATACGAGGAATGTGAGGAAAAACAGCCTTCGATTGATTTTGCAAATGTTTGCCTTCAAAACCAGGTGGTATATCATCATATTCATCAGTGGTAGTTGAAGGCGATTGTTTTTGTAAATGTTTGCCTTCAAAACCTGGTGGTGGCTCATCATCATATGGCCATTTTGACAATGTCTTCTTTCCTTGGAGTTTGCTGCCAACTTTTGAAGGGCAATCGTCGGGTAAGAAGAACTTTACCTGTTAAAGGGTCACACTAAGATCAACTTTCAAAAATAAAGTAAAAGGGTATATCAGCCTGTAAGCAGTATCACAATGCAAGCAGGAAACACTTTAGCAGTAGCATACAACAGTCGACAAATTGAGTATAAAAATAGAAGAAAAAAAAAAATGCAAAATAATTTGATACATGCATCGATTATTTCTTGTTTATGGATAAATTGAACAACCTCATATATATTTTTTACTCACAAAATTTCACAAAAGTAAATGGTTCAGCTATAATTGCACTACTGTGAATGTAAAACCTTATAAGAGGTAACAAGATTATAAACATGTCCCAGAAAAGGTTTTCATGTCATTTCAAACAACGGTACAAAATACTCGGATCATAGTTTATGCAGCATTTGTTCTTGTTATTTTTACTATGTTCGTTTCCTACTATTATGGTATTGTGTTATTCATGAACTATCTTTTTTTTTCTTTTTCTTTCTTTTAATGTATAGCCATTTAGAAAGTTCGTTGAATTATTAGTTCTAAAATTTACAGTACTTTGTAGGAAATATTTTCTTAATAATTGCCCAAATAAAAATTAATTTATATTGGCAATATGGCTAACATTTTAACCAAAGCCTATTCCAAATGGTTAAGAACTTGATTCCTGTGTTGAATTTAAATTTCATTCCCATCAAATAATTGACTGAATTCCATAATTACTCATAATCTAATATTAACTCCTCAACTATATTTTAGCCCTCAATAATACTTAATTGAAATGACATGTAATGATGTATTTATGTTATTTACAGGTGGGATAACAGAACTTCTGTTGTCATTCCAGAGGAAGATGTTTTCTACTTAGTGGCATTTCTTGCATCTGAGTTCCCTCTTCCAATGGAACTGATGGCCTAGAACACATTAGAACAAAAGAATTTTAGAATTCTGTCAAAGAGCACAACTAGGAGTAAAGCAGTATTTGCCCCACTACAGTACACAGCAAGAATGGATGACCCATTTTGGTCCTCACTGCGAGACTTTTCTGCAGAGACAGTCTGTTTATGATCCCTTAGCAATACTCGCTCCTGGCCAACGTATATTTCAAAAAGCAATAAGCTTCTCATGACCGTAGTTTCCTCATTTTATTATTAAATTTCAAAAAGAAAAGTCTCTCGTGCATGCATATGCGAAAATGAAAATGTTAAATGATCAGACAGGTTTGGACACGGACCATACTGAATGCAAAAGAGGATTATCGATAGTAGAGAAATAGAGATCACAAAATGATGAATGGTGAGATTTGTATGCCAGACAGGTTAATAAGAAAAGTTGTCAGTGTGTATATGCATCATTACTGATGGGAAATTGCTTAACATGCTTAGTGTAGCACCAAGGCAGCAGGGTCCGGCTGAGATTTTAAAATATATATTCGGAAAATAGCGGTATGAATGCATAAACAATATGGATAATGCAACAACAAAGCAACTTATACAATAAGATTATGTTAGAAGCAACTTATACATAGCAATAGAGCATGATCAACATGAGCCTAGCAACTTACCTTCCGAAACCAAAATTTCCAAACATTCCAAACATAACTATTTTGAATTTAAAAGATAACACAAAAAGCACAATCAAATCAAAACAATCATTCTGTAATAGAGAGATGGAGATAGAGAAAGAGTTTGAAATGGAAAAAAAAAAATGAATCGTGCAAAACAAACCCTAAAATTGAAATTGAAGACAAAATCACAAGAGATATTACCACATGAAGATCGAAAAGGAGAATGAGTTGACGCAGCCATTGAAGCTATGCGCAAAAGATAGAAGAAGCCATTAGTGAGAGTGAGAAGCGAAAGTGAGAGTGAGAAGCGAGAGTGAGAGTGAGATGACGGTGAGGAGTGAGGTAAAAGATGGAAAATGCCTTATGCAACGAGTGTGAGGAATTTTTTAAAAAAGAAGTTCAAATAAAAATTATTAACGGTAATTTTAAAAAATTGTCACTATAATTAAAGTTTTACTTGCTAATTTTTATTGGTCACTAAAAGCTTTAGCTAATAATAATATGCAGGCAATTATCTTATTGTCACTAAATAATAGTGTTTAATGATGTTTTTTGTTGTAGTGTGAGACTTTCACTTACTTGTGAGATTGATGTATTTTAAGTTATTGATTATCTTCCTTTTTTATTATTATTGCAACAAAATTAATGTTAATTACAAGTTCAAAATTAATATTAAATTTTTATTTTTAATATTTCAATAACATTAAATATAAACTTAAAATTATTTGTAATATAATTTTTTTAATTTCTTAAAAAACTTATAAATATCTATGGATATCCACAGATATTGAAGAAATTCATGGATATATACCCGCTTAACAATACCCGCGCGGGTATGGGCAAATATGGGGCCAATTTTCATCCAGTGTGTGAGGACGGGTTTACTATTACTTACCACATTGCCATCCCTAGTGTAGAATATGGATATTGTGGATGAGTACCTATAAATAATAGATGTAAGTATTTTTTAGACTCATGTTAATAAGATGGGTAAGGATATTATAGTATTTGTATTTGCGGACATCCACTAATATTCAATAACATAATTACATATTATATTTATTTAAACTTATAAGAATCAAGTACTTTAACAATTAAATTTAATTTTTAAATTGAAGAATCTTAAAAAAAAATACACAAGTACGCTTTTAATGAATACGTATGGATATTGAAAGAAAAAAAACATGAGTATGTGCTTAACAAATATTCACATGGATATAAGGATTGGTACTGGGTGGATATTTATGTAACAAGGCGAGTAATAGTAAGTAATAGTAGGCTACTACCCATATCTGCCTTAGGCAACCCTATTTACATCCCTAGCTATTATCAACGTTCGTTGGTCTAACTGATTGCAGTGGATCCTCAAGTCTCAAGGTCTCAAGGTCAAATCTTAGGTTTGATAAAAAAAAATAATCAACACTAGAAGGGATAGTCTTAATGCAATCAAGGTTGCAAGGTAAACTAGTTTTTAACGAATCAAGTAGATACTCATATCAATACCATAATAAAAATAATGATTAGCTATTAAAAATTTACAAAATAATAGAAGAAAAAGAGAATAAACTTATATTAAAGAAAATAATGAGAGATAATAGTTTAAAGAAATTATAAGGATAAATAGTTAACAAAAATTCTGTGTATAAAACTGTATAGCCCTACTTAATTTTGTCTCCATCATCTCATCTCTCCCACATTTTCTTCTTACTTCCTTTTTTTTGCTTTTCATTAAGACATTTATTGTTGAAATATAAACAAAGTCATATATTGTTATAATAAGAAAATAAAAATGAATAATATCATATTAATGTGAAAATGTGTGTGAACCATTAATATACAACAAGATATCATGGTCCTCTTGAAAAATATATCTCAACAAAACAATCTATATCACTTATTACACCTATCATTTTCTCTTTCTAATTCCTTTATTTTTTTTCTCATCCCTATGTATTGTCTTCCTTTCACTATATGTTTACGGTCTACTTCGATGCTATATTTTTCATATAAAAAAACTAAGTTTCCATTTTTTATTTTCATTAGTTGTTTTTTCTTGTTTAAATCACATACTAAATATAATCACGTTCAAACTAGATAAGATAATTATGCATGAAAAAACCTTTAGATACAACTACATGTTCAAGTAATGATTTTAATTTATGGCAATATATGTAACGACCTGTTATAGTCCTTACACTAAATGACGCAGTAACAAATGGTGGAAAACAACTAACTTAAGGTTATATACTTATAGATATTAGAAAATGTATTATATAACATACACATAAAGATAAAACAACTACATAAATATGTGCAATATAATTCTAATACTCCTTTAAATGTAAACTATACAACTAAGTTATCGAACAAGCAACTAATACTATCTATACAAAATCACCCCAGGAGGTAGTCACCAAAAGAAACATCCAGCTCCTACACCACTAAGTGGCCTCCACTGCAAAACCCCATGTAACACCCCTATTTTCACAGATTATATGAAGGTCCAAAGCCCAATAAGGGTGATTTAGTAGCCCATAACGAGTCGTTCCAAAACTGGAACGGGTCGTTCCAAACTACTAAAAAGGCTTATAAACTCTAGTTGAGAACGGGTCGTTCTTAACTGGACGGGGTGTTCCAAATCACCAAAAAGGCTTGTAATCCTAGTTGGGAACAGACCGTTCTGGTTTAAGAACGAACCATTCCAAACATGACTGTTGTGGGTTAAAATGCAACCCTAGAATGGGTTGTTCTGGATGTGAATTTTACACTTGACGAATGAGTCCAGAACAGGCCGTTCCGGATTCGAATTGGGTCGTTCTAGCCACTCCTAATGCCTATAAATAGCACACTCTGGCACTCCCAAAAGCACACTTTTTACTTCTGACTTCTTCTCCTTCTACACTCTCTAAAGACCAAGGGGAACCCAGAAGAGGAGACCAACCAGATCCTGCCTTTGTTTCAGCTACTGTTTATCGAGGTACGGGGGAAAAAAGTATTATTTGTATGCAAAGTTACATGAGGGAATTGAGTAGAGGAGGAATCCCATAGGATTACGATTAATTTTATAATTATTTCTGTTTGACGAATTGATGGTCCCATTAGATTTTGCATGTATTGAGGATTAGGAATATGCAATTAAATTTGTAAAAATGATGATCTGGGAGAGAGAACGAAAATGTAGAAAAGTGCCTGTGAGTTAGGTTTTGGAAAAATTGGGGGTTTTACTAATTGAGTTAAGATTCTATTAAATTGGTGATTCAATTTTGTGTTATATTAATTTTTAAATGTTATTCTTATATTATATGGTAAAAATTGATGATCTAGATGTGGATTCATGGTGAATTGCTTGAGAGGTATGTGAACCACTATTTTGTGTGGACTTATCTATTTTGTGTATGTGATATGAAATTGAGTTATGGAATGCGGTGTGATGTCTTGGCACAAATGTATACATTATATCTACAGTTTTAGTATTGAATTGATAACATGATGTGGCGAATGATATATTATTGTTCAATTAATTATGATGTGAGTATGTTGACATGAAATGAGATGTTGTATTGAATGTGAACGTGATGTGATTGTGGTTCCTCACACTTATGACCAGGGATGGCACGACCCTTGGGTAAGTGATGCTACAGGGATGACGTGACCTTGGCATACTATGGGATGTGTGAGGCAATTAACACGTATCACTTATGTCAGGATGGCATGACCTTGGGCAAGAGATGCTACAGTCGTGACCTTGGCATAATGTTAATTGTAAGATTTATGTTGATTATGAATAAAATATGATTGTGGTTCCTTACACTTATGACCAGGGATGGCACGACCCTTAGTTAAGTGATGCTACAGGGATGGTGTGACCTTGGCATAGTGTTGGATGTGTGAGGCAATTAACACGTATCACTTATGTCAAGATGGCACGACCTTGGGAAAGAGATGCTACAGGCGTGACCTTGACATAGTGTTAATTGTAAGATTTGTGTTGATTATGAATAAAATGTGATTGTGGTTCCTCACACTTATGACCAGGGATTGCACGACCCTTGGGTTGTTAAGTCAAACAAAAATGATAGAACTTCCCAGCAAGGTTTTGAATGAGACAAATATAATACTTATTGTTATTACTAACATTTGTGTTAGTGTTTCAGATATAAGCACAGGTAAACCAAAGAATGGAAAACATACATCCACACCAGAATCAAGAGATATGAGTCAAGCATCAAGAAAATGCATCAGACGAAGACACCTACACAAAGGAGTAAAGAAATAAGACACGAGCAATCAAGATGAAGGACAAAAGCTAACAAGATGTCAGACAAGAAAAACAAACTTTCAAATAGAATCAAGTCCAGCACAAGAAGGGAGATAATAAAGACTCAAACGATACAAGACCATGGATGATGGGAAAATCCTGACTAGAGCACCCTAGACTGAGTCAAGAACCTACAGCAAGCTACAACAACTAAAGAGACGAAGGTTCAGATAGAAAGCTAGAATGCGTTTGAAGACATAACAAGATAAGTCATCTAACATCTACACTCTTAGAAGAATAAAAGAAGTCATCAAGTATGAAGAGGAAGATAAGACAGATGGACGGGCGTTTATTCAATCAAAGCAGAATGTGTCAGAGCAAGTACAACTACCAGCCAAGAAAAGAAAACACCTCTGCAACAACAGTACTAAGAAATTACAATAGATCTCAAGAACTGCATAATCAGTAAGCAAACATTCAATGCTAAGTCATAAGCATTAAATGTCACAATCCATGAAGATTGTACAAATCAAATGAAAGACTCAGATGATGAGAAATCAAGCACAAGAACAAAGACTACTATTATCAAACTAAAGCACCGAGGTATCAGACAAAGTCTATGAGGAATAATCAAGGCAAGAAACGACTAGACAAGTCGAGGCAGATAAAGCTAGTGATATAGGAAACCGAGCATCAAGAGAAGAATAAATGGAACACAAGTATGCACCTGATGATCATACAATACTCATACAAAGAAGTGTCTAGCACAACTATGCTAAAGCAAAAATCAGACGAGGCATATGTCTAGAGACAAAGAAAAAGGGACAGCCATGCATCAAACCAAGGAAGAGTCAAAGCACTAAACTCAGACGAATACAAAGATTGTCATAAAAACATATTAAGAATCGTCTTAGAGGAAAACTCAGACATCGTCCACATTCATACAAGAAGTTCTCTACGACAAAGTAAAGAAAGAAGGAGAAGAGAGACAAGTAAAAATAGAAAGCATGCATGTGTTAGAAAAAGTGCGTTACTTTTTCAGAAAAGGACAACTGCTACGTTGTTGCATGATCAGAAAAGGACAAACAACTTCTAAGCTTTAGATAAAGTCAAACACTACTGCAACAGGACAGGGAAGAATACTCGCAATGTCTAAAAATAGGAAGCAACATTTAA